CGGCTGTACGCGAGAAAAAATACCGCGTAATTTTGTTTTCGAATGAAAAACTATTTAACATCGAAGAAAGTCATAATAAAAAAAATGTTAAGGTGTGTGCCAACAGCAGTGAGGAAGCCAGCACGCGTATTCCGAGGGTTCAACGAGCTTATTATCCCTCGTCACTCATGGTTTAGCTTGGAGTCTTATATTCAGGCTTAACTGAGCTATTTTTCTGTGAAAAAGGTGTAAAAACCAGCGTTGAGGTGTACCAAAATACCATCCTAACAAACAGAATCTCTTTCTCAAAACAATGTTAAAAAAAACAGACATTGGATATTTCAACAGGACTCTGCACCAGCTCATAGGGCACGAAGCATGGAAAACTGGTTGACCGCCTATAGGATTGACTTTATCGGACATGAAGACTGGCCCTCTTCTAGTCCAGATTTAAGCCCACTGGTTTATAAGATATGGCAAAATTTGGAGGAAAAAGTCTGCGTTATACCTCATCACAATTTGGAATCTCCCCAAGCATCTATGGCTAAAGCAGCGGCAGAAATATATATGAGTGTGGTGCATGCTGCGATTGACGATTGGCCGCGTCGATTCGCTTAATCGACATGTATTCAAAATAGGGGAGGGAATTTTGAATAATGTAAATAAAATTGTATTCTAAATTAAATTACCATTCATTTCATATATAATTTCTATATAATTATCAAAAAGTGTATCATTAATTTTATAAAAAGTTTTGACAGAACTTATGACCTGACTAAGTATATATGTCTGATCTAATGGCGGCTGTATACGCTCGTCGAGACACCACGAGACAGGCCGAGTACGAGTGTGTACGACGAAATAGACGGCACGAGAGGCGCGCGAGGCAACGAGACGAGTGTGTACAGCCGGCATATATAATAATGCCTTTAAACGAGCAATTAGATAATATATATAATCGGAATCTCGGAAACGGCTCCAACGATTTTCATGAAATTAAGTGTCCAGGGGGTTTCGGGGACAATAAATCGATCCAGCTAGGATTCATTTTTAGAAAATGTCGTTTTATCCGTGTTTTCTGGTTCAAGTCCTCTCTTCGGTTCGACGTTTTTTCTTTTTTTTTTCAAGTTCCCTCCTTTTGTGAGAAAATCTATTATTTAGAGGTCATCCAGGTATTATACAGGGTTACTGGTAACTCGACGTATTCCCGCCAAGGCGTGATAGTTGGTGTCATAACCTATCAAATGAACCATAAAATGCATTATGCAAATGTGGACCAATTTCGAGATATTTAGGTTTATTTATTTTTTTCAAAAATCCCAAAAGTCTGGTGTCAAAAATTTCTAAAAAAAAAACTTACAGCTGTATTATTTTCATTTTATTATTTTTACTTAATGAAAACCTGAATACTTATTTATCAATACTACAGTGTGCAAAAAGTCTCATCATTTTCGAAGTAACGCTACTAAAAGTACAACTTTTTTCAAACAGAAGATAACTAATTAAAAATAAAAATGATTTTGTGAAAAATAATTGTATGTGACCAATTGTGCAAATCATGTTAAAAACATCCCTACTTATCTAGCTACCCAACGAAGTATCAATTTAGCTTGTAACAAAGATGTTTTATAGGTACAGATACCGTGTTGCTAACACTTCGCACCGTTCACAGTGACGCCAGTCTTTGATTCATGTGTGCGTGAGTACCACGTGACGCGCATATCTTACGTACCATGCCTGCATTAGTGTGCGTGACTTCGGTAATAATAGTGCGAATCGATTGCCCAAAAATTTGGGAGATTTTATATTTCATTCATATTGACATACCTGAGTGTAAAATGTGTGTGCGAGGCGTGTGCATTTGTGTCCGTATGAATGGGGATATACACACAGAAGGGATATGGGTGGTTATGTGTTTTATGTAGGTACGAAAATCGCACTAAAATAGTGAAATAAGTAATAAAACCTAGATATAATTAATGTAACAGTTAAAAATAAATAAAAAATCACAGTAGATATTTATGTATCTAACATATATTGAACTAATCTATTATTATTGAATATATATAGAGTACTACACTTTCGTACCTTAGACTCAAAATATTGTCGCTTTTTACGAAGACATTAAATATTTTTTAATCTTAAGTAAAATGACGTACAAAAGTAAGTTTGATTAAGTGTAACCGTAAAAGTTAACTTCGGCCAAGAGTTAGCAAATGTTTTTTTTTTAAATTCACATATCGATCCAGTTTCATGACTAGATCAAATAACCGGTTAAACAACCGGTTCACAACGGTTGCGTATCGGCTGCTTTGGATAAATATCCGTTGTCAACAGTTGCTTTACATCTATTAATAACATTAAAATAGGGAAAAACATTTCATACGGTAGGCAACACTCGAATATTATTGCGCAGTATTATTACTTGCATTGACATTCAGCTTTCGTATTATTTTATCAAGAAATACACCAGAAAATTGTACATTTACTTATTAAAAGTGATGTTCTTATCCTTATCTTTTTTCCAACAGTAATTTTTACATGATTTCACAGCACAAACAGTCATTTTGTGAGATTAAAAACACTGGTGCGTGATGTACGTTCGCAGTGAACGTCGCTGGCGTAATGGCGGAACGATCGAACGAATACGCCAATATTGGCGCCTTTTAAATGGAAGCGTTTTAGGCGCGCGTACACGGTATCTGTACCTATAAAACATCTTTGGCTTGTAACTTAAATAGTACAGAAAAAACTTGAAAAAAAGGGGCCAGGTAGACAAGTTCCGAGTAGCAATGTTTTGGGTAATCCCAAACAATCGCTTCTCGGAACCTTATCAACAGCTGCGGAAATGCTCGTAAAAGATTGTGCGTTTGAACTTACGCTATTGTTTACATTTAGTGTGAAATTAGAAACAAGTTAAACAAGAAGAAACTGTTCAATCAGTCATCAGTATTACAGGCATCGTACACACGCGCGCATATCCCTCCCTGTTACACTTAAAGAAGTTGAGTTTCAAAGTTTTATGGCGGCGAAACCACCAAGACGCGGAGATCATGCAAGGCAATCATTTTCCACCGAGGAATACGCAGATATCTTTTATCTCTATGGATATTGTGACGGTGACGCTACAGCTGCTCGCCGTGAATACCTACAGCGCTACCCTAATCGCGGACCACCCCATGTCACAGAAGATGAAGAAATTTTGAGTAAATTTCAAGAAGATCCAACCACTTCCACGAACATAGTTGCTCGTCGCTTAGGTGTATCGCAGTGGAAGGTCTGGTCTACTGTGCATACTGCGGGGCTTTATACGTACCACTACACACCAGTGCATGTGATGGAAGAAGGAGATTAATATTGGTTAAAAATAAAACACAAATTCCTTTGTCTGCTTAGAACTCGACTACCTGATCTCATTCTAGAGCTAGATAAATAGGGATGTTTTTAACATGATTTGCACAATTGATCACATACAATTATTTTTCACAAAATCATTTTTATTTTTAATTACTTATCTTCTGTTTGGAAAAAAGTTGTACTTTTAGTAGCGTTACTTCGAAAATGATGAGACTTTTTGCACACTTTAATATTGATAAATAAGTATCCAGGTTTTCATTAAGTAAAAATAATAAAATGAAAATAATACAGCTGTAAGTTTTTTTTAGAAATTTTTGACACCAGTCTTTTGGGATTTTTGAAAAAAATAATTAAACCTAAATATCTCGAAATTGGTCCACATTTGTATAATGCATTTTATGGTTCATTTGATAGGTTATGACCCCAACTATCACGCCTTGGCGGGAATACGTCGAGTTACCAGTAACCCTATATATGACATACCAATGACTGACTCATCATGAGATATCTACTACAAGCCCCTATCCCCCATTCCAGTTCTACAATTTTGTAAAGTATTCACTATAACAATTTTGTAGTTTATTAATTTTTATTGAAAAGAAATAATATGAAGATATGTAAAATTAATCGTAATTACCTATAAATTGTAACTTTTATTAGATAGGGCCCTGGACTAACTTCTTGATTGCATTATATTGAATTGAAATTATATCGATAAGATTCGTATGCATGATTAAAATGGTGTGTGTATACTAATTTCAAAGCACCTCTTCTACAATTGCGTGCACTCTCACTGTCATTAAACCAATCATTAACCTTTACACTAAGATTTCGCACACACCGGAGACAAAAGAAAGGGCTTAACGAGATCTTTATGGCACAAGAAGTACTGCGTGGTTAGCCAAAATAGGATAATGTTACTTTCACGTGGTTTAACGTTTCATTTCATTTACTTTTCTAGTTTTCTACAGGCTTTAACGATTGTAGTAAGTCTTCTTGGCTAGCTGCGTTTAGTTATTTGCCATGTAATGATTCAGACTTTACGGGGCCAGTGTGTGCTTCGTTCTTACAGTGTACGGGAGTCGCTTTCATTACATGTAGTTGTTCTAGCTTCATCTTAGCTTGTCAAAGTATACCGATTATTATATCGGTATTTTTTTTTTGTGAAATTTGTATGTGAATTACATAATATTGTGTACATAATATAATGTTGTGCTTGCTTGGTGCCATTGTATTCCATCGGTGCAATTTCATTGATATAATCAATTTTATTAACTCATTTTACTCTATGTACTAGAAAATAAAGAAATGTATATATTGTACAACTAACTTTATTAATAAATGAAGTACTAACTAATATTGCTTACGTTTTTTTTTGCTTTTGGGGGGATCAGCCTAATTAACTTAAAGCTTAAGCAAAACTTAACCAATGCTTTCTAAATCTCTTTTCTTAGTCTTCTAAGTTTTCATGTTTGAATTGTTAGGGAATTATAGCAGCTCAAACTTTTTGTATATTTCTTTTAATATAAGAATGTGATTCGGCCGTCTTATTACGTATGTAGGTGCAATTCTTATAAGGTATTTACATGTGTACTTTTTAAGAATTTTAGGCGTTCATTATATAACAAACTTGCCGAATTTTGGCCTTTTATGCACATTATCATTTATCTCTGGAATATCACTGACCATGGCAGCTCTTTCAATTTAGTCAGATTGTATTTCTCTTCAAACGGAATCAGTCCGTTTATCGCCGCCTGATTTGGTTTTATCTTTGGTGGCCGCAAAGAGATACGTTTAAAGAAAGAAAATGGAGTTTTTTCCTTTACAGGTTGCCGACCACTTTCGTTTGCTAAGATCCAATTATACACATAATCGATAGGAATTGCTGACACGATGTATGAATAGACTGTTTGGTTTTCCGCCACGAGTTTCTCCATTTTATCAAACACAGTCAACCAGTTGAGATCGAAGTCGAGTAATTGGATGTTTACGAGAACCTATAAAACATCATATCTTAGAACATTATATTTAGCGTAAAAAAATGTTGAATGGGACGGTGGCATTGGTTCGAAAGGATACCGTCAGCTTCTGACTATTTGAATTTGTTATATCTGAATTTGCAGCGTAATAGATTTTATCACACAATGCCGTTTCGCATGTGATTAAAAGTTGGTTATATAACATGTAACAAAAACCCTGTGGTTCCCGTTAAGTGCGTTATCAGAATACCAGTATCCAAGCGTATAGAAATAATTTTTTTTTTCAAATAAATGCATTAAAAATTATTTTAATGAAAAAAAAATTGCAAATTTTATGTGGTATTATTATCTCTGCATTGGCCGAGGAGTAAGAGGATTGTCAAAGACCCCGCAGTACCGATACTCGTGTGAGTTAGAGGAAATAAAACCATATACAATATGCAAATTAATTTTTTTTTCTTTAAAATTATTTTTTTAAATGTGTTTTTTTTTTTGAAAAAAAAAAATTGCTATACGCTTGGATACTGATTCTGATAACGCAGTTAACGGGAACCACAGGGTTTTTGTTACATGTTGTATATTCGGACATAAGTCTTATATATAGTACCTCTATGGAATACCCAAAATTGTCTAAGCAGTGTCCAAAATAAAGAACACATGTTACTATTACAATCGCCAACCCGTTTGACAATCGTTACAATTACAGCAAACTTGGCTCATATCCAGCGGTGGAACTTTCGGACTAATTCATGATTACATACATGTGAAGTAAGAAGAGTTTTTTTTTATGCAAATGCAAGTGACAAGTAAGTACACAGTTCAACTGATTGTTGGTGATTGTAGTGATCCATAGGCATCTATATCTCTTACCAATTAAAATTTATAATGCAGATGCGTTATCAAACTTGAGCTCCTTAACTGCAGAAAGGGTATCTAGTTACTCATCATACGATACAGCATTATGCTACTATCTCACGCTGATATTTTCCGAGAGCGTGATCTTTCTCCGTCATCTACAGCATGGCGCTACCAAGTTAAAAACTCAACTTTTCACCATTTGCTAAATTAATCGGTCCTGGTGCACCCTGCTAGCTGACATACCATTTTATTAGGTGGTGGAGCTACGCTGCAGCTATATTATAGTTGTATCACGAATGGGTCGGCTCGACCGGGTCAGGACCACGCTTTCACAGAATACCAGCGTAAAATAGTATCGTAATGCTGCTGTGTTTCGTATGGTGAGTGTAGAGAACCGGAGACCCTTTTTACTGGAATCGAGGAACTTAGACCTCAGTGGTGACAACGCATTTGCATTTTCTTAATTGAGGATATATGTGGATGTCCACAGCATCCATGCCATCGCGTGGACTATGTGCTCGTTTGTCACCCAATGCTATATACCTAAATAAATAAAAGATAATATAATGCTATATACCTAAATAAATACCTAAGTAAATAAAAGATCCTAGCGACCGTCTCATGGCGGGAATTTATCTGAAAAAATCTATCTATAAGCTAAAGAAGGGAAGCAGCACTATCAGTGAAGGGACAGACAACCTGTCCTGTATCTCACAGATAACTAGATATATAGCAGTGGGATCAGAGACGCTAACAAGGGAGACCTAGGAAATAATATGTATGAATTCGTTTATTTCACAAGAAATTAATGGAATTATAGTAAAATTACTGCTTACTTCCGATACATCGTTAATAATGAAGGTTGTGAAGTATCTGCTGAGCATATTCTTCACATCCACATCATCCTTGAGGTGCAGTACAACTGTGAAACCCTTTTGGCTGTACCGCGCTACCAAATCATCCACATTACCCATGTCGTAGATCAAGCCATTTACTAGGATAGCCAGGCGATTGGTCACCGGCATATGACTTTCCACGCTACAGAAAACGAAGAGTTAATTGATTCCTTCTTCAGGAAAATTAAAGTGAGTACCTACCCACTACCCACTACTACTGGTATTAATACTACATCTACCACAGATGTTTAGTTAATGAAAACATCGTTGAGAAATTAATAAATTAAATGCAATAAAATGAACATCCCGTCCCCCACCCCGTTACAGCCTATTAAAGTCCATTGTTGAATGTAAGCCTGGTAAGAATTACATCGCTCATATCCGCTCAATAAAATAAAATGATGTGTGTTACCTGGTTTGAAGAGCACCTCCCGCTCTCCCTCAGTTGCGTGCACTATCCCCGTCTCCACTAATCCCAGCACCACTACTCACAACACCACTACACTAGGAAAGACATACTACCGATTATAATACGATACGTGTTTCGGCTCTACACGAGGCATCCTCATGTAAAGTGAATTGCGGACGGTTGATTGGCAGACCGCTAAGCTTAGCGGTTAGCCACAGTCAAGTATTATTGTCGGTGATGTGTCTTTTCTAGTGTACCTAGAGGTGTTAGGAGTAGTAGTGCTAGGATTAGTGGTAACGGGGATATTTTTTTTTCTATAGAATGGGGGTGACATACGAGCCCACAGTCCACCTGATGGTAAGTGGTTGCTGTAGCCCATAGACATCTACATTTATCCTCAATTACGAATCAAAATGCAGATGCGTTGTCACCCGTGAGCACTACGATGTAATGCCTCCTTTCCAGTAAGAGGGGTCTCCGGTTCATATTGAAGGAGGGCGGGAGGTGCTCTTCAAACTAGGTAAGACACATCATTTTATTTTATTGAGCGGATATGAGCGAAGTAATTCTTAACAACTTTAATATAATGGATTTAGGCTAAATAACGCCTGATTCTGTTAATTATATTTTTATAATTATTACGTCTCACTTAAGTCACAAGCTATACATATACTCGTAGGTACATAGACGGCAATTTAAGGAGTCATTTTACTAGTCCAGTTAACGGACTTCACATAATAAATCTTTTCGTTTTCTAACGATGTTTGTTTACTCTATGCTTACTATATATTATTTGCTTCGAGCACTTGAGTCAACAAGTAAAATTGCAGTTGTTGGTGACTATTGCTTTCTCGCATACTGCAATATTACCGCTATAAGACCGTCTATAAGCCGTTTGACTACGGCTAAGGGCCGCGGGTTCAAATATCGATCGCAATAATATGGCTTATAAACAATCGTTTCGGGTCTGGGTGTTTGTTTATGTAGAATTTATATTTAAGTAAAACAATTAAGCGCTACGTACAGGACTAATTAAGTGAGTATGTATCCAGAGTAACACGCTCAAATAAAATCGTAAACATACCTACAAGAACTCATAAAAATTGCATGACCTCGCTTCCTTAGATGATGAAGAATGTAGTACATAGCGCGTCTGATTGAATACTTCTGATAGGCAGTAAATTCGTCTAAAACGAGCACGGGGGGTGCGCCGACAACAGCAGCCGCGAAGTGTAGCTTGGTGCGGTCCGTGTGTTGTAAACGATCGATGACTGTGTTTGCTTTGTCATGAAGCTCTGAAAATATATTTTTTCTATGAGAGAGTGACAAACGAGCCCACATTCTATATCATGGTAAGTATAAGTAGCCACTGCAATCCATGGTACACCTGGAGCTAACTCCAAAAATGGCAGCTACAAGAGGATAAATGGGATCTCCGAGAAACAAGATAAATATTATACAAAAGGTATCTTAATCTTGAAACCGAAAGACAAAGTGGTTGTTAGCAGTAGAAACAGATAGAAGAGTAGGTAGTGTTAAACCCAGATGAACTTCTAGGTAGAAACACAGATTACTAAATATATAGTTTATTAGAAAGTAACTCGACTTTTCCTTTATCAATCCGTTAACAATGTACAGCTGGGGATACGATAATCTAAGCTGGGCGGATTGGTCGTACCATGCTTCTCTTGATTTTATATTTGGCAAAATACTTTAAGAAATGATTATGCCGGAAATAGTCGGAAACTACAAGACCTTTTCCTAGTTGCCAACGTTTAATTTTAATTTAATTTTAAACGAAGTACGGGTGACGAAGGAACAAGTACCTACAACTGAAGGTAAGTGAATAACGTTGACTTGACCTATAGAGAAACCTACTTATATTTATTCTCGATTACGAGGGCGACACTGAGTTTTGTGGCCACTTATAAACAATATAATAAAAAAATAAGTTCAAATTTTGAAAATGGAACTGCCAATATTATTGTGTTGTGGCAAATTGAAAATTGTCTGTGTCGCGTCAGCATGAATTTAACGCGAGAAAATTTTCGTTCAATGATTTGTTATGACTTTCGATGTCATTTAAGTCAACAAGAAAGTTATGATAGACTTCGATTGGCCTTTCACGATGAAGCCCCATCTCGTGCAACAACTGGTTTAAACGTGGTCGCACTAATCTCACCGATGGATTTACGTGAGGGACGGCCTTCTACGGCGACGACTGAAGATAACATCCGTGTTGTGCGGCGTATGACAGAAACTGACAAAAGAGTAACTTATATGTACATTCGGACAAGCTTAGGCATCGGAATGAGTCAAGTGCACAAAATCGGAATGAGTCAAGTGCACAAAATCCTCCACGAACATTTAGCGGTCAGGAAGCTTTGGGCTCGGTGGATACCTCATAATTTGACAGTGCCCCAAAAACTCCGTCGTGTTGATTGGTGTCCTGAAATGGTTCAAAGATTTAGCAGAGGTGACTCAAATGCTGTGTTAGACATACTTACGGGTGAAGAAAGTTGGATTTATTGCTATGATACTGAAACTAAGAGACAGTCTGCTGTCTGGGTGTTTCCTTCCGAGGAGTTGCTAACTAAAGTGAAGAGAGATCGAAGCGTGGGAAAAAAGATGGTGGCCTCGTACTTCGGAAGGACAGGAATCTACGCAACACTTGTTTTAGAGGATCGAAAAACAGTTACTGCAGAGTGGTACACTAACAATTGTTTGCCACTTGTCTTGGAAAATTTTTGGGAGAAACGACCTCGCAGTAGGATCCTCCTTCATCATGACAACGCCTCGTCGTACACCGCCAAGTAAACAATCGACTACTTAGCGACGACAAACGTGTAATTACTGGGTCACCCACCAGCCCTATGACCCCGACCTCGCACCTTGCGATATTTATTTATTTTCAAAAATAAAAGAAAAACTTCGAAGAAAACGTTTTATGGACGCCGAGGAAGCAGTGGCTGTCTATTGCCTAGTTACCATTAAAAGGGTCTCCGGTTCTCTTCACTCATTACATGAAGCATAGCAGCATGATGCTGCTATTTCACGCTAAATTAAAAATATTTTATTTAGAAGTTGTTTTTAATCAAATTGTATACATATTTATTCTTACTTAACTATATCTATAAATAATACTCGAAAACTTACCAAGAGCATCAATGAAGTTCATAACTTCAGTCTTCACGTATTTATTTGGCACACCACGCAGTATCGCTATTAGTTCAAGAGCATCAAATATGGTCATCCAAGGAGGTAAAGGAACACGGTCTGAACAAAGTGCAACTTGGCAGGCGTACTGGATACAGGAATAAAATTACAGACAATACAAAACGACAACTATGCTATTTTGTACAGGAAATTTTGAAAAATGCTACCTTATGCGGATGTCTTCGCATTTCCCAAGTTGACATTGCCCACAATTGACCGCTGGTGGGTAATTTATATCCGGCCAGCACCTCGCAAAGCTTCCTTCTGCCGTGGTTTATCAGCCCTGACAGAGCCTGTACGTCGCTCTTACCTAGGCCTAAGTACACGTTCCTGATTGTACTAATGCCTACATCTTCTTTAGTTATATCAATAGCAAGGAGATATTCGCCCAAGTTATCCATCTTTAGGTCTATAAAAATAATATGATGTGCTTAATGTTAATACAAAACCGGTCAAACCCGAGTAGAATTAGCGGGTCATTCGGCTAATATGGTCACTTTATTTTAAGTCAAAAACTATATATAGCATTGTTTTCAGTCGTAGATACAAGGGTATACCGGGGGTCCAACGTAGGGACGGATCATTACTTGGTCTTATGTCGAATTAATGGTCTTTTCAAGCGTTGGCGGCATCGGACATCTGTGTCTACCACTGCGTTACAGCATATAAGAATAGAGAAGTTACAAGATGAAGATGTGAAAGAGAAGTATAAATGTAGACTGAGAGGAAATATTAGATGTTTGAACGAGTTGTGTATGAATGATTTAGACTTGAATACTGTGTGGGATAGTATTAAGAAAGGTTTGGTGGATGCCGTCACCGAAGTATGTGGTGTAAGTAAGAGAACAAATGAAAGGAAAAGTAATACATTGTGGTGGGATGATGACCTCATCACCAACGGGTGGAAGTTGAATCAAAGAAGAAACCATGGTTAGATTTACTAGCAACCAAAGCTGGTAATTCTTCTGATATGAATGATGAGATTGAAAGAAAAAAGGCAGAATTTAGACGTCTAAATAAGAGAGTAAAAGAAGTTGTTGAAAGAAAGAAAGAACGGATAAGAATGATAGAAGGATATCTGATAATTTCCAGGCTAACATATAAATGTTCTGGAAACTCGTAGGAACTGCCAGGGGAAATACAAAACAGCCTATAATGAATGCTATAAGAGACGAGAATGGATGTATTCTGAATGATGAAGTTTCGAATTTAAACAGATGGAAGGAATACTTCGAAAGCGTGATTATGAGTGAAGAGTCGTCTGAATTAAATGAACTAGAAATTCCGAAAGAAGCAGAAAGGGGTTTGGAGATAAGTGTAGATGAAATAATGAAAGCAATGAAAAGCATGAAAGCAGGTAAGGCAGCTGGATATGATAGAGTATCCCTCGAGATGCTAAGGGCTGGAGAAGGAGTGGTGGCAGGCCTGCTGTACACCTTGTTTAATTTATGTTGGGAATTAAAACGGGTACCGGATGACTGGTGTAAAGCAGTTATAGTACCAATATATAAAGGAAAAGGGTCACAGCAGGACTGCAAAAACTACCGTGGTATCAGCTTGCTTAGTATTGTGGGTAAACTGTATCCTAAGGTGTTAATTGAAAGAGTTATGAAAGAAACTGATGGAAAAATTTGGGATGTGCAAGCGGGTTTTAGAAAGGGAATGGGGTGTACAGATCAAGTCTTTTCCATGCGCATGATTGCGGAGAAGTTTTTGGCCAAAAACCAGAAAGTTTTTTGTGCTTTCATGGACTTGGAAAAGGCTTATGACAGAGTGGACAGGAATGTTTTATGGCAAACACTGAACTCATATGGGTTGAGCGCTGGTTTGATACAGGCATTAAGGTCTCTTTATAGGGACTCTAGTGCTTGTGTCAGGATCAATGGGGTCTACTCGGACTGGTTTGGCATCCAAAAATGTGTCAGACAGGGCTGTGTGGCTTCCCCTTGGCTGTTCAACCTATTTATGGACCGGTGTTCGCAAACTTTGAAAGATGAAGAATGTGGGTTAAGAATGGGCGAGTTAACCGTCAAATGCCTTTTGTATGCCGATGATCAAGTCATATTTGCGTCATCGGCGGCTGAGTTGCAAATGATGGTTACATTAATGAACTGGGAATTAAAAGAAAGGGGAATGAAAGTGAACGCAAGTAAGACGAAAGTGATGGTTTTTGAAAGAGAAGAAAGAAAAACGGTATGTGAAATAAGAATAGAAGGAGAGTTAATTGAGCAAGTGGATGAGTTTGTGTATTTGATTATTTAGCAGGGATGGTAGATATGATAGGGATATAGAACGACGAGTAAATGCAGGGAATAGAGTGAATGGGGCACTACACTCTATTATGAAGAACCAGAATGTGTCCAAAAAGGCACGTATGGTAATTCATAATGCTGTGTTAATCCCTACTTTAATGTATGGTAGTGAAAGCTGGGTGTGGCAGAAGAAGCACGAAAGTAGAATAAATGTTGTAGAAATGCGGTCTTTAAGGAGTATGCTAGGGTTGAATCTGAATGACAGGGTGAGAAATTGCGTGATAAGAGATAAATGTGGTATGCAAGATGATGTGACCAGGATTAAGAAAGGAATGCTTCGGTGGTTTGGTCATGTAGAAAGAATGAATGAGGAAAGAGTGACAAAGCAAATTTATATGGCAGATGTATATGATATAATGCAGGAACGGCCGAGTCGGGAAGGGACGCCCTAGAAAAAAGTTTATCGACCAAATTGGCGATATTTTGAAAAGGGGCCACGTTAGAAGTACCCTTAACCGACGAGCATGTATGCGTAGATATATGTATGTAAAGGAGGCGAAAGAGGTATGTCAGGATCGTGCCAAATGGAAGTCCATAGTCTCTGCCTACCCCTCTGGGTGACAGGTGTGAGTGTTTATGTATATGTATTATGTATGTTTTCATGAATGGCTATGTGATACGATAGCTCTTCATCAGTGAATCAACTAATAAAGTGTCAAACTCAAAAGGACCCTGCTTTATCGACGCCATTTTGACATTTTACATTAAAGTCAATATTTTAGTCGATTTTAGTATTGTGTAGTTGGTATTTTTAAGTTTATTTTTCAAAGTTTTTCCAATTATTTCCAAAGCGTGTTTGCTATTTTTTTTAATATATTATCCATAGTACACGACTTTGTGTTTTCATATCTGTTCTTCTCCTAGTTTTAGTTTTACAGGGCGGCAAAGCTTAATGTGACCACATTACCCTCACATACCTTAGTATAAACGTAGATATGTATTAAGTTTTTTCATTCCGGGAATTATAGTTAAGTTAAACAGCGAAAATTTGTATAACGAAAAGGCAATCTGTATCAACGACAATCATTACATTATTATCATCATCATTATTGACTTTTAAGGGTTGAACATCAACTTCCACTTACAAGAGAAAACGATCTTAGTAATTGACAGGTAATAATTTCACCTCGATATCTCTATAATTCTCTGCGAAATAGAATCATAGCAGGCAGATAGAGATACAGAGAGTGAACCTATAAGATTTCCGTATTTTCCTTTTGAGGTTCTTAAAGAAATTTTGTCTTCAGCATCAGATTGTAAAAGTCTAATGAACGGCATGGCTTCTTCCTTAGTAGAGAAGACAATATGTTCAAATCGCAATTACACTTGGCAGACGGATTAACATAGCAGTACCCAACGTCTGGCACCTTTGACACTGCTCCCCGCACCAGGTACTTTTACTATGATTATGCCGCCAAAAGTCAGCCGAAAATTAGCGCAACCTCAACAATAGCTTATGGTGTCTACAGGTGTTACTTTAACTATTTTATTTCATATCTATCTTATTTTATATACTTCTTGTTCTTTTTTTAAATCATGTTTTGCACGATGTTTGTGAACGATCAATAAAGATTTTCTATGTTATTTTAAAATGTTATTCGGATACTTAACGCCGTTGTCGGCGACAAGGCATACAATTTACCAGTGACGAACTGTGTTTTGTTCATAAGACTATTATAATTTCCTAGTGTAATTAGCGCGTAATAACTCATATTAGAATATAATTTATAAAGGTTAGCTTTTAATAATAATTTTATAAGGAAGCTTTTAAGCGAAAATTTGTATTGAAAATACTTATAAAAAATTTAAGTTTTGTTTAGCGCTTGGAAACTAGTGTTAAATTAAAGGTTTAAATGTAATGTAATATAAACAAAAAGAACTAAGTAGATCGGACATCTGTTTCAATAAATATAAGATAAAATATATAGTAAATTAACAATTTTGTAAGGTTTTGGTTCTATAAATTTTATATTTAAGAAATTAATAGCTTATATTATTATTTTATATTATAGAACAGTACTAGAGAAATCTAACGATGTATAAATTGTAAGGGTTATGTGAAAGTTATAATAAATAAAGGCTCCTAAGGTTTCGGCTTGAAATAAAAACAACACGCGAGACGGGCAAAACCGCGTAAGCGTCCGTACGGTAACGCCGTCTGATATAAAAGTCGAGCCAATTTCGGCTCATGTCTTGCGGAGTCTCGTCCGGACCGCGCTAGTGAGCGGTCTCGTCCGCTGATCGTCGAATCCCGCCCGGGTGGGAAAAGTACAGCGCGTCGCTTCGCAGTGGGTGCACGTGCTGTGGGGCCAACTCGGCTTGCGTAGAGCCTCGAGGACGCCCCTGACCCCACCCGGGATGAAGAGTACCTAACGCTGCGCTTCACCTACACGCTGGGAAGCGAACTCCGAAGGCCCGGCGCGCTGCTGGTGAGCGCGCGCCTGTTGGTGATTTCGGCTCCGCGTCGAGATGCATCTCCGCAGGACCTGGAGGTTGCTGACCCTTCCCAGAGGCGCGAGATATGCCAACTTCTGCCTAGGGATACCAGGCCATCACCTAGAGCCAGCAAGAAGGAGCACTGGAGGCCCGGAGCAGCTGCTGTCCGGAGCGCACTCCTGTCGGCAAGATTGGCCCTGCGTCGACTCCTTACCTCGGGACTCCGCGGGGCTTTGAGACGGCCGACCCTCCGGTAGCATCGACCTAGTGGCGCGCAATACGCCAACGAAGATTACCGACAATGTCGTACATGTACGGCTCCCAAGACCGGCCCATAGATATGGGCTGTGAGGATTACCCGGGTAATGGGGTAAAACCGAGGCCCAAAACCTGCATGGGTTAAACAATAGTAGTCCCATAGTAGACGACAATAGGAAGCTCAAGTCTTGCAAGCCTTGCGCCCTCCTTTCTGTCAAAAAGGGTCGCGTCCGTATACGGCTTAGAGATCTCTAGTTAGACCGTTAAGCCAGTCCCTAAAAGGTGGGGTTTAGTGGGTAAAAGTATCCACATAACCACGCAACTGGCTGCGTGGTATGCTATGAGCATTCCCCACCTCATTCCCCCGCTTTCCGGAGGGTTGGCCATATTCGTTTCTGGCGCA